CTCTAAACCGGGACTTATAGGCACCACTGTCGGCACGTCCAAACTTTCGTCATGTTTTCAAAATAAAAAAAGCAAAACTCTTCACTATCTGCTACAAAGAGATGTAAAACAGTCGAAACTAATCGGAAAACCAGATTTGAATCCCAATCATTGTAGTACTCCATGAAAAATGTGTTTTTATTTATTGTAAACAAACTTTGACCGTATTTTTCACTCCTCGAAACTCTCCGTGGTCTTTTTGAAAGCTGATTTTCCCGCGCGACGGCTTCAACAAATCATAGACTTTCATCATAGGAGTTAGCCTTCCAGTTATTTATAATTCAATGGTAAATTGTAGTAAATTGTAGTGATTATGCAATGTGATGGTTAAAGGGATATGGCAATAAGTATTAACTTTGTCTTATTTCAACTTTTAAAGTTATATATGAAGACTCTTTACAACTTTCTCGTACCTTGCTTGGTTTTCGAAATATTTTAACCAAAAACAAGCAGTCCGCCATCTTGGTATTAATTGACCTAACTAACTGAGTTCTTGATGACGTCACAAGCAGGGTAAATTTCTTAAAATGTTGCGAGTTAATTGAGTACTAAAACGACTTCGGGAAATCGAGTTTCATATTGATAATGACAAGTGGTTTGAAAGGTAAAAAATTTCCTTTTAGCCTACTTGTGACGTATGCATATCGAATGCATTTTCAAGATGGCGGAATGCACGCTGCTTTTTACCAAAATAAGTCAACTTATTTCGAAAACCATACAAGATACGAAATAAGTGTAAAGAAGTTTATATATAATTTTAAATGCTCTTTCAATTAAATAATACAAACTTAATTTATATTGCCATATCCCTTTAAATATTTGTTTGTCTAAACTCCGTGACGCTTCTCCGCAGATGAAATTACTTCATACATGATTATCAAATATTTTGTGTTGTCCAAAGATATCGAAATTCTACATTTAGATAACGATACATCCAGTTTTCGAACGTACGCAATCTGTTGCACCACAGCAAACACACCAATTATAACTTGTAAATGCTCCGTTCGGGCTGAACTCACTGAATGAAGGCGCTTTTAAGCGCCTTAAAAACTCTTAAAACTGCCTTATTCAGTCCGGTTAGTTACACCCGGGAGACGGGAAATGCAAGTTAACGCAATAAAATCATGAAACAATTCCCTATATATAGTAGTAGAGAACTTCAAAAACAAGTGTGTTTTTTTGAGAATGGGTCGTTCCAGAAAAGATCCATACCCCCCCCCCCCCGGAGGAAATTTTTGCTGTCCGAAGGGGGAGGGTGAAAAAATGTCTTAGGATGTCCGAAGGGGAGGAGGGGGGAAATGTGTTAGGATGTCCGAAGGGGGGAGAGGATTGTGGATATGTTTGCCTGAAGGTTTTTAGACTGTGGTAAAGCTATGTGATTCGCGATTATAATGAGCACGCAATTTTTATCGGCTATATGTAGCTCTTGAACACTGGAACGTTTATGTAACAGCAATAATTATACGTCCACGTAACTCGTAAGCAAAATAAGCGGCCCACTTTTGCATGCATGTCCACCAAAAACTAACTCGCTGTAACAGCGTATCCTGCATGTTGAGAATGAGTCGAAAATTGACACGCTTTATTTATATAAAAGTAAAGTTTTGCAGTTTTCGTTCGTATATATAAGTTTGAATTATTCAAGTGTTAAAAATAATAGTTATTAAACTGTTGCTCGAATTAAGAGACTTTTATGTGAACTGAACTCAAAACAATTTGTTTTAGTATATAGTCAATAAAGCTTTCTTGCGAGGTGCGTGTCTAGAAAATAGAAATGGCTTTCATATTAAGGGTGAGGTTAAGGAATGCAGTAATACTAAAAAATGCATTAACATGTAAGTAAACATAGCAACGCTTGTCAATCAGTCGCAAGTTACATCGAATTTCAGTCCGAATTTTACTTGAACGAATTTCGAAGTGATTTCTGCAAATTATCTGACAAAACCTGCCACATGTTTGTGTTCGCAAGTCACAACAAGCCGCCAGTGTTCCGCCACGCCGGAGCTATTTGAAAACAGCGTAGAAAAGTCACAATAAGGCCATTTATACGGAACAAAATAAGACACGACTTACATAAGACGCGACTTAGGTAAGATGCGAGTTTGTCAAAAGGTACAAAATTCTTATGTAAGACGCGTCTTACATTCTTATGTAAGTCGCGTCTTAAATAAGAAATTTTGGACAAAAAGTCTAACTACACATGCCAGAAACTTGAAACAATGTAAAATTTAATGCCTTGCATATTAAAACAAAAACAACCAAAACAACATTATAGCTATAGCAAATAAATAATACCAAAGCCGTAGAGAACCATTTATGTGATAACTCCACTTATTTAAGTCGCATCTTATGTAAGTCGCAACTTATTTTGTCACATATAAATGGCCCTAATAATCCATCGCTAATTCACTCTACACTGGAGCGAAATCGTTTGAAAACTTCACGTCACTTTTGCCGTAACAATTTGAGCACGGTTTCTAAACGGAGCGAGGTGAAAACGGCGGAGCGCTTGATAGCTTCGTGTGAACACAAACGTGTAAACTCGAATGCTTTTCAGTTAAATTTCTTGGGTCTATTTGAAATATTTTGGGTTTACACGAGTGCTAATTCAATTTGTGAACAAACTGTAATGGCGGTAGTGTGAACACACGTAAATTCTGCCTGCATTAGTTCGCTCGCGCGTAGTGTGAACGTAGTCTAATTTTCGGTGACGTTTTCAAACGGCGAGGTAGCCTTTAGAATAATTTAGAAATAGTGGATGTCCGAAGGGGAGGGGGGTAATTTTGGGCTTTGATGTCCGGAGAGGGGGGGATGAACCATTCAAGGATGTCTGAAGGGGGGGAGGGGGTTATTTTCGATTTCCTCCGTAGGGGGGGTATGGATCTTTTCTGGAATGACCCAATTTTTCATCTATTGTTGAGCTATGATTGGAGCCAGAAAGAATCATGGAGACCATTCTTATCAAAGACTGCAGTAAAAAGTTTTGTTGACAGCTTTCATCAAATGTCCCATTAAACTCAGGAAGTTTTCTCTTTTCAATATCTCTGCGAATTATTTGAGCTGCTTTAGCAAGAATAATGGCCTCGTCATCACAATTCGATGATTTGCTTGCTTGCTGTAAAACAAGTGCTATATCTTTGTCAAAAAAACATCCCTTCCTTTTTTGTGTGATTGCAGATCTGGTATTTGTGCTAGAATTCTGTTCTTCAAATCTGTGGAATGAATTTTGCTGTTTTCAAAACCGAGTTGCTGAAGATTTAAGGCATATATCTTCACAAGGTCAGCTAGTCTGAATATAGTTGGATTTCCTTCGTCATTGTCTAGTTTTTTTCTTTCTATAAATGATACTATCTTGGCCAACACGCAAGTCCACAGAGGATATTATTGTTTGGCTTCTCGTCATTTTTTTATTTAAAATGTATTATTTGATGTTTACCCCAAAAGCAAACTGCTTATCGAGGGGGTTTACATCTATACATATATAACATTTTGAACACACAAATGGTACACACACCCAGACAAAATAAGATATTAATATAGAGATATTAAACATCAAAGGCGGATGCAGCAAAACGACATGTGTTTAAAATAAATTGTTGAACTATTGAAAACAATACACAATTTTCTTCATAACTCAAAACTTCAGATCCATTTAAAACAGTTCAACTTTACAGTGTCGCTGCACCGCAACCACGATTGACCAAAAAGCTGAGCAGCAGAGGTAAGCAAAGTCGCATGCTGAGTAGCATAATGGGGACATTCAAGTAGATAATGTTTTACAGTTTCTGTTCCTTGTTTACATGCACAAATAGGAGAAACTGCACAATTAATAAAACATAAATAATCATTAAGAGCACAACAACCTAAACGTAACCTAGCATGTAAAATAGAAGCTCGTCTGCTTAGTGAGGAATCAAAGAAACGGTTGTACTTTAAAGGATGCAATAAATTATTTAATATATGTTTAAAGACAAATAATGAGTCTAACTGTCTTATATCTAAAGACAGGTTATTCCGTAAATTTATAACTGAAGGAAAGAAAGATGTTTTAAACATTTCCGTTCTACTCTCACCTACTCTCAATGGCACCAAATCACTAATATAAATAAGCTGGAGTCATTCTATTTACAGGCTTATAGAAGACTATTATTTTATGAATTTTTCTTCTAGTTTTCAGCTTTACCCAGGCTAGTTCCTCACGTAATTTCCGAGCACTGGTGCCTTTAATTGCACCTGTAATAATTTTAGCAGCATTGCATGTATTGAACGCTTTCTAGTAAATCACTATTTCCTGATGTACAATTATCCCAAACAATATCAGCATATTCCATTTGTGGCCGTATCAAACTTGTATACAAACATCTAAGAGTAGACCTATCTAGATGGAATTTGAATGATTTCATCACATTTAATCGTTTAGAGGCTTTTTCATAAATTTCCAACACATGCTTATTCTAAGACATATTAGGGCCATTTATACAGAACAACATAAGACGCGACTTACATAAGACGCGAGTTTGTGGTATAAAAGGTACAAAATTCTTATGTAAGACGCGTCTGGGATAAGACGCGTCTTACATAAGAACAGGTCTTTTAGCTGTTCTTGTTTAAGTCGCGTCTTAAATAAGAAATTTTGGACAAAAAGTCTAACTACACATGCCAGAAACTTGAAACAACGTAAAATTTAATGCCTTGCATATTAAAACAAAAACAACCAAAACAACATAGCTATAGCAAATAAATAAGACCACAGCCGTAGAGAACCATTTATGCGATAACTCCACTTATTTAAGTCGCGTCTTATGTAAGTCGCGACTTATTTTGTCACGTATAAATGGCCCTAATGTTTTGAAATGTAAGACCCAGATGGGTATGAGAACTAACTTCTTCAATATCCACACCTCTCAATGTAAGTTTCCGGATGATCTATTTTGTCTCTTTTCAATGAAAATAACATGGATCTAGTTTTTGAGGGGTTTCATAGTAACCAACCACTTATCTGACCACTCAGAAATCTTAGCTAAATCGTTATTAAGATTTTCAGCTGATTCAACAGGATCATCTATGACCTCAAATAGCGTGGTATCATCAGCATAAACAAAAGGCTTTGATTCAAGATCATCTGTAATATCATTTACATATATTAAGAACAAAAGTGGCCCTAGTACTGAACCTTGAGGTACACCCCAATATAATTTTTTCCATTCCGATGATTGACCCTCGAGAACGACACGTTGCATTCTATCCTGCAAATAGCTTTCAAACCAATGCAGTAAAGAACCACAAATACCAAGCGATTCCAGTTTTTTTAACAATCCGCGATGCCACACACAGTCAAACGCCTTACTTATATCTAAATACACAACTCTTACTTCTTTTCCTTGCTAAAAAGGCGAGATAAATCTGATGAACTATATACAACAATTGATTCACTGTCGAATCTCCAGTCTGAATCCGGATTGAAAACGATAAAGAAAGCCGATTTCTATCAAGTAGTCATATAGTCTTTTAAAGGCAACTTTTTCGCTTAATTTTGATAAACAAGGTAAAAGTGAAACTGGACGGTAATTTGTTTTAAAGTGTCGATTTTCTTTTTTATATAAAGGAATAACATTGGCCAATTTCCATTGCGAAGGGTATTTTCCTAACACAAATGACCGATTTATTAGTGTAGTAAAAGATGGACACAAGCCTTCTGCACACAGTTTAATTATTCTATTTCCAAAACCATCGCATCCACTCGCCTTAGTAACATCAACATTTTGCATTAATCTGAAAATTTCTTCCTCTTCCAGTGAAATAGTAAAAAACTCCCGCGCAGAAGGATGTAAATGTACGAATGGCGGCAAAGTGTCCACCCCAGGGAGCCGACCCTGCGCTACAAAATAGTCATTAAAAATGCTCGCCTTTTCCCCAGAGTCAACCACCGGAACATCGTTTTCTATTATTGTAGGCACTAGGGAAACATTAGTTGATCCCCAAAGACTTTTAGTAATAGACCACCACCTTTTAGAATTTATATTAGGATTGCTTAAATCTTTATTTAACTTATCGTAATAAAATTGTTTTGCGGACCTAATTAAGTTCATTGTAAAATTACGTTGCCTTCTGTAAGATTCCCAAGAATAATCTGATCGCCTAATATTATGAATATGTAATAACCTATCACGTTTACGAATAGCCCGGCGAACCTCATTATTCATCCACGGTTTATCTCTCGGCCGTATGACAACAGATTTTAATTGTATATAGCTTTTGACAACATCATAAACCGTTTTGAACCATATCTCATAAATATAATCAATATCAAATACAGTATCGAAAAGCGATCCCCAATCATTCAATAGTAATGCATCATTTAAAGCAGAAGTATTTACATTACTAAAATCCCAAATCTCTCTTTTAAAACATTTGTTTTTAGAAATACCAATCTTCTTTTGAGCAAAGATAAGCGAGTGGTCACATGTAGGAGGACTACGAGTTCCCGTTTTATTAAAAATATTTGGACAATTTGTAATCAAAACATCTAAAATAGCTGCTTGATGCCTGGTAATTCTTGTTGGCTCATTAATCAATTGTGTCAAATTATTACCTATTAAAAAACTATTAAATTTTAATCCTGCAGTAGTACTCTCATGAGGATTTGTATCATCATAATGTGAATTCAAGTCCCCTAGTATTACCAAATTATATTTTCTTGGTAACAATCATATATTGTCAACAGCAAGCTGAAAATTATCATAGAAATTTATCAAAGAAGCATGATCCGTGTCTGGAAGACGATAACAAGCACCGCATAAGAAGTAATGTTCTCTTACCCTAAACTCAATCCAAAGCAATTCCATGCCGCTAATTTCTAAGTCCTTTCTACGTTTCACTACGAGAGAGTTGTGTATTAAAAAAGCAACGCCACCCCCGATTCTACCAAGTCTATCCAATCGAAGTACCCAGCTAACACAATCACGTTGTCGCAACGTTATCTGAACGTTCGCCGAACGTCCGGACTACGTTATAATTTTTGGTTGTGGTAACGTTTTTTTGTGAACTCCTAAAAACGTAGCACCAACGTTGGGTATTACGTAGCGTTTTACGTTCCCACAACGTTCAAGCGACGTCCCACGAAAAACGTGCAGACAACGTTAATAGTATAACGTTGCAACTTTACGTTGGCTTAACGTTATGCTGCAACATTAGATCAACGTTGTGCTGCAACGTTAGACCAGCAACGTATATACAACGTTTAACGTTGTTGGAAAGTTATTTTGTGAACTCCGAAAAACGTAATATAAACGTTAGGAATAACGTTGCGATTATGCTTCAACAACAAGCTGTTTTGACGTTTCTGGAACGTACGTTTTGGTCATCTACTTAAATCTACTAGCTTAAGCCGTTTATATTTTCTAAAATACCAAAGTCATAGTACGATTGATTCATGCGAATCGTGCTTTGATATTTCATAAAATAAATGACTTAAATATTACCG